AGGATAATTTTCACATGGTACATTAAGCAGATTATAATGACTCAAATAAATAAACCATTTTGTGGATCCTACTTATTAATTATAATGCTTCATCCATGAATAAACATAATTTCACATGTACAAATTTATTAAGAATTTTTTATGAGTTCAAATAAAAAAACCACTTTAGTGGTAACTATTTATTACTCACAAAATTCTCAATTTACGAGTGAAGATACATGCATCTCATAAAATTATTTTATGACAGATTATGGACTACAACTTAAAAACCATGCCAATAATATAATACTCATACAAAATACCTTCATATTTTACTTAATTACATCCTTCAACCAGAGAACAAAAATTTTCATCGAAATTCCAAGAATGGTAATCACGTAGGGCATGAAAACATAAACCAATATTTGAAAAATTATTTTATGCACAAATATGCCAAACGCACCAATCAGTAGTCATCTAGGATATCAAACATAGGATTTCACTTTCTTATAAAATGATTATATCATCACACAATATTAAGTATACCTTGTAAGACCTAATCAATAAAATCCTACGACTCTATTATTGAATTCAATACAACAACATGCCTATTCTAATTACCAATGTGTAAACCCATTATATCACTAATATTTAATCATGGATACCATGGAGAGTCACCCTACCACCATTAAATTAAAAACAAATTAAAATTATGAAGAAATAATTTCCAGAAAATAGAAAAACGTCCAAAACACAATCTGAATGACCTCAAAATGCAGAAAAATAATATGATTCACTGCATAACAGTGAGTTTTTCTCACCACCTCGTTTACGATGGACCCACCGAATTTCGGCTCAATCGAAGTCCGTCAAGTTCTTTGACCTCCAAAAATACCGACAATTCGGTCAAAATCGGGTTTTGCGTTTTTCTAGGGTTTACCAAAAAAATTCAAATCATCTCAATCAAATATCAATAAAAAAAAACCCGATATCTCATGATTACAAGAATAATTCAAAAATATTTCACAGTTAATTCACAAAACAACAGTGCAATTTTTCAGAAAATAATATATACATGTGATTCAAAAACACACATAAACATGATATTCCTGTTTTATGAAAAAAAAAAAAACTAGTTATCTAATTAGATGTAAGTGGGATCTGATACCAATTTATGAATTATTATAAGTAGTGAAAGCAATCCCAGTATCAAAATCATATGTTATATAGACAACTAACATATATGAGGTTTCACGAGTTACCTCTTGAAGCGTGAACAAAGCTCCTCTATCACGTGAGCCTCCAATTCTACAATAACTCAATAAAATCTTCACCACCCGCACAATCACGATCTCCAAACGTTCCAGGGTCTTCTACTGTTACCCAAATAGTATCCGAAAATAGTAATTTCGTGTGGGCAAAATTTTCTAGGAAAAAAGGCTGAAAAATTCTGCCATCTTCTCTCTTTTTTTCCTCTAGGTGGAAAAACTTATGTATTTATAGCATGATTTTTAAGGGCTTTTCCAAAACATGTTGGGTTGTTCTTTCCACCAGAAAAATGATTCCTTTATTTCTTATTATTTAGGCACAGCAGGGACCACAAAAGTTAATTAATAAGGCTTCCAATTATGGAATTAATTTTTAATTTTTGAAATTAATATCCACCATAATTAATTACGAATTATTTCACTAAAAATTTATAATTGTACTCCTTATTCAATTTCGAAATTCATCCATTAAATCTTATTTAACTCCCCATGTTAAGATTCAGATACTAATTAATTAAATTAAATTACTGACGATTTAATTGATTGATTATTTCTTTAGACTTTCGCTTAACTTACTTCATGTGTCGGATACAAAATCTACCGGTCGGGTTTACATATGAAAACTTATAAGCTTTCATAAAGATGTATCATCAATCTCTAAAGTGAGACATGGATTCCATCAACTAACTATTACTTCGCCAATGTACATTATTATTATCTAATTTATCGGGCATATTGACCCACGAAAGGATCTTGCCTTTTAATAAATAAAAATAATAATAATAATATATACAGCTAATAATAATTATATCAAGATTAAGAGTACAAGTTCATTTAATGGCTAGAGAGTTTATTTTATTAAGTCAGTATAAAATACTTATCTTTACTTGGTCCGTTCAATACATATAAAATGTACTAGCACAAGAAGTTAGAATTAAACCATTCCCATAATCAAGATAAATTATATTTAATCTTGTGCTAGAATCATCCATTATGATTTGTTCAATTCCATCATTAGATTGTGAACTCAAACTTTATACTTATAAGAACCGATGATTTAATCTTCCGTGTATAAACTAAACTCTATACACTAAATCATCTACTATATAAGCAAAGGACACAAACCAATATATGATCTATTTAAAACTTTATTAAAACAGAATATACAATTATTTCATAATAAATACTATATCTAAACCAACCCTATGGTTAATAGTATATATTCCAACAACCTCCCACTTAAACTTTTAACCATAACAATTGTTAGAATATACTATATTCAAACGCATGGTTAATAGTATATGCCCCAACAATCTCCCACTTAGATTCATAACCATGCATCTATAAATTTTTCAGGCATTCTTTTTACATGACTATTAAATGTCTTCACCAAATAAGGTTTTGTTAAAGAATCTTGTCAAGTTATTTTCTGATGCAATCTTTATCCAGTAGTTCTTTGTCGTCGCTATCTAGTTTGGTGTTAAACTCTTCAGGGATCCTGTTACTAAATCTATCCCAAGAGTGTACACCGAACTATGATTTTCCATAGTATTCTCCCACTACGACGAAGTACTACTAATATTACCTTCATTACCTTACGATATTGAAATATTAACGATTTCTTGTTATAGTATACACTGTTCAAACATCACTCCCACTCGATAAAGGCATATTCTGCCTATTAACGTTTTTCCACTACTTAAATGTAATGGAACGTCAATTCCAATATTTGGGTTTTGATGTTCTTGAACATCTAGTTATTTCTTTGCCTAGTTCTTGTAAAACTAGTTTACTTCTAGGAACATGGTTTATCAAGCAGTCCTTATCTAGAAAAATGTATTTGTTTTAACAATGGCCTTATTTTCTTTAGGACAATAAATAAACTTCCATTTGTTTTCTTGGATATTGCATAAACATGCACCTATCCATTCTTAGTTCCAACTTACATATCTGCTTTCCCTTTCAGCACATATGCTGGACAATCCTATATCTGAACATGTCGCAAACTGAGCTTACATTCACTCCACAGTTCTATAGATGTCACAAGTACTAACTTAGAAGGAACTAAATTCATAATGTAATTTGCAGTTTCTAGGAAATATTCCAAAAACGAATAAGGCAAATCTGAATAACACTTCATTAATCTATCTATGTCCAAAAGAGACTTATTTCTTCTTTCTACTACACCACTCTATTATGGAGTTTACGGTGTAGACAATTGAGATGTAATCCCTTACTCTGATAAGTAAAAAAAAGAACTCTTTAGAGAAGTGTTCGCCAGTACAATCAAATCACAATGACTTAATATATTTTCTTGATGCTTCGACGTTTCAAGCCTTATGCACTTAAGGTATGATCTAATAGTCAATAAGGTAGGCGGATGGCATAACTAGGACGTTTCAGTGCCACTATTATTTTTTAACCCCGATAAAAAAAGTCTTGCAAAAATCGTATCTGCCAGAATTCGGAAAGCACTCTTGACAATCGTTAGATATATTGATAAGGTGATCATCAGAATTTGCCAAAAAAAAATAAGGCAAGCACCAGAACTTTTCATATGGTATCACCAAGATTTGCCATAAAACATGATAATCGCTAGAAATTTTCACGTAATGATCACCAGGTTTTGCAAAAACATGCAATTGCCAAAAAGTTTCATATGGTACAACAACAACAACAACAACAACAACAACAACAACCCAGTAAAATTCCACTAATGGTGTCTGGGGGGTAGTGTGTACGCAGACCTTACCCCTACCCCGAAGGAGTAGAGAGGCTGTTTTCGAAAGACCCTCGGCTCAAAAAATAAAAAAACAAAAGGACAAAAAGGTAGACAATATTAGTATCACAACAACAATCATGGGATAAATAGGAACACCATAAAATCCAGAAGAAAGATGCAAAGCAAAGGGAGACAATATTAATAAATATTAGTATCACCATAACAGTCATAAGGAAAATAGGAACACCATGAAATCTAGAAGAAAAATGCAAAGCAAAAGCGATAGCTAGTAAATAGGACATGCACAGAAAAGCGAAATAGTAAGCCACAACATTCTCACTAGCTTTCTTAGACAAAAACCCTACATGGCTAGTCCCATCATGGTACGAAGTAAGGCACGACTCAACTACCTCCTAACCTACAACCCTAATACTCGACTCAAGTTCCATATGATAATCACTAGAATTTACAAAAATATGACAATCACCAAAACTCACCAAGATTTGCACAAAATATGGCAATCGTTAGATTTTTTCATAATGAAAAAATTCTGGTGGCGTATTTTAAAATTCTGGCAGCGTGGCTATCTTACCAAAATTTTCTTAACGAGGTCAAAATATAAACAATGGTTCTAAAAATGTCCATCCAGCGTAATTTAGTGAGTGAAATCTTTGAATAATATGATTCAAATTTCATTAGAAATAAAAAATTAGATAAATATTTTTAATTTTCATCAAAAATATTTTGGACAAAATTATTCTATATTTATATTGGTGAAAAATAACACTGCCACCACGTAAAATAGTTGAGTTGCAAAAGAATAGTGGAGAAGTGTTCAAGGAAAAGGGAGACGCTCTCATGGAAAGATGGCAAATGGTTTGGCTTTACCGCAAAGTAGGAAAAAAGGGAAGCCTTAGAAACAGATGAATTTATAATTCAATCGCGACCCCACATTTCTTCCAACGGCTCAAATCCAACGTCTCTCTCTCACTTTTGCATCATCTCCATTGCTCCCTCATTTTCTCACACCAAACTCTGATACTACGCACACAAATACATATGCACAGCAGCAACTGTTTTATTAATGAAACACAACAACAACAACAACAACAACTAACAACAACAACTAACACATGTCCACATCTCCCCATTCCCTCTCTTTTCGTCTTCTCTAAGATTTTTTTTTCTTCCCCCACGAAGCTCCCAATCTTTTGTTTGTTTGCTCCTCACTTCACATCTTACTCACCTCTACTCCTCTTCCTTCTTAGCCACATAACCCCCTTTCTCTCTCTTTCCTTTGCCATTCATTTTTCCATGTGGAAAGTTCTAATTAGACCCCGTTTGGAAGTATTTTGATAAACTTAACAAGATGATGAAAGACGAGAAATAATCGGCGAGACGTGCGGTTTGTGCTAATTGACCGTTTTTGACGTTTTAATTACCCAAAAAACAGCTTCTTTGGTCTTGCATTCGATTTATTACAGGGAATTTTCTTATCATTGAAAGAGAGAAAAACTGTTAAAAGAGAGGTATAGAAATGAGTTATCAATTTTGTTATTCTTGAATGTTTCTATGGTTAGTTTCCATTGTCTTTCTCCTAATTTCTTCTTCTTGTTCATTGAAAGACGAGACATTTTTTCAGTCATTTTCAGTTTTTCAACCAGATGGGTTGTTTCCAATTTTTAATAGGGGAACATTGAAATGTTCAAAATTTTCTCCTTTTTGTCAACAAACAATAATTAACATCATAGCAACATTCTTGATTGAGCAAAAAGGGTCAGAAGAAATGGCATCTTCTCAGGTAGAAATAGCCTCTTCTTCTTCTCCCTTTGGTCATGTCCTCAGAGATCGTAACAGGCGTGATCGTTGCAGCCACAGAGATTCAACCAATGCTGCTTTTCAAAAGAATCTCAAAGATTTGGTTCATACCCACATCCATTCTTGCATTTCTTCAAGTCAACCCACCCCCTCCTCTGCTGATAGTCATGGACCTGGTCATGTTGACTATGCTGATTTATGGGTTCACAAACCACAATGGGACAACAATGAGAACAGTCCCACGACTAACATCAAATCCACTAATAATAATAAATGGGATAAAGCTAGAGAAATGGTGCTTTCTTCTAGGACTACGAAACAGAGAGAGGCGAACGCGAACGTGAATGCTTCGTCGCCTGAAGGCAGTGCCGTGGAAGTTCCTAATAATGGTGGTGTTTCGACACTTGTACGCCGTTGGAGAGATTTTGAGACGGTTTCAAAGAGCGTGAATTTGGGGAACAATTCACCTCAGAAAGGTTGTGATGATACATGTGATGAATCTTCGGTAGATGGACGATTCGAAACTCCGGCCATGAGCGTGAATGGCGAATCGTCAGGAGATTGGGAACCCATGGATAAAACTACGGTTATGAATGAAAGAGATTCAGATATTAAAGAAAGGGAAAAGCCAAGAGTTGCTGATATTATAAGAAAATTGGCAAGTAGTAAGGGTGAAGAGAATAATGAGAGCGAGCACAATGGTAACAATGCTGCCCTTGCTTGTGGTGGTGAATCGTTGCCCCGAATTAAAACATCATTTGATCATTCAGAGCAATTACAACAACAACAACAACAACAGCAGAGGAGTTTTTTCCCAGTTCTGCACTCGCCTCGAATCATAAGAGGTCGCCAGGCGTTGAGCGATTTGCTGTTGCAAATGGAGCGTGACAGATACCGGGAACTTGAAGGTCTTAAAGAGCGTAAGGCCGTTTCCAAGTTCCAACAAAGAGGTCGTATTCAGGTTTGCATTTTGCTCGCTAATCCTTCATTCAAGTGTAATTTTACTGATGAATTTGCTTTCAATATCATTTACCATTTGCTGATTAATCTTGTAAATCCAACTTCCTGAATAGGCTTTGCTTAAAGTTAGATTCCTGCGTCGTGGCACAGGCGCCAGAGATGATCGATCAACCAAAGGCACATCGTCCGAATCAAATAGAATGTCTCAATCTGCAATCATGCATATCAGGTAAAGGTCATTATTTTAACTCCTTTCGATCCATGTCTTTGTAGATTCCAAATGGCCATCGCAAAGAATTAATCTGCAGTTACCTTATGGGAGAATGTTGTTGATCATCAACACTTGCTTCAACTGCTTAAAATATGAAATACTTAGAGCAAGAATGCTAGATCGTGCTCAAACGGAATAACATTACGCAAGATTGAAACTTTGAACAGTTCTGTTTCTTTGACATACTAAGGCAAAGAAGATTATAGTGTGTTAACGGAGTCTAGGAAAAATCCAATCTTGGGAACCTATTGATGTTGTTGACAGATGATCCATCTTATAGTTGCCATTAGTGCAAATGTGTGTGCCTTCTCTAAGTATATCAGAGTGAGGTCTCAGCATAGAATACTTTTTGGGATGTATAACAAACTAAACAATTGAAGCTGAAAACGTGTTAGAGTGGTAGACTTTTCCTTCAATCAGCTTTTCTTGTATTGTTCTTTCCATTTTCACAATGAAAAGTATTTAAGAATCAGGGCAATTTCCTTATGAGTTGTGTGGTTTAAAGGGAATCAATTATCCATTTGGGTTCCTTATGGAAACAAAGTTATGGTCTTTCTGATTCAAAATGTACCTTAATATGGAATACATTGAAATTGAAATATGTTAATTCATTTCAGGAAAAGGTTCAATACAGAAAGTCAGAATGGTGAAGCTGAATCAAGAAGCCTCTCAAGAGAAGCGGCAGATAACACCCAGGAAAGCCGGAATTCCACACTAATTCAGCAAAGAGTACAGAATTGTGAAAGGGATGACAAAGGCTCGATCAGCTGCCATAGAGAACTGGCTGATAACAACACTGTAAAAGTTGGAAGTGAATTAGCATCGTATAAGCGGAGAGAAAGGAATCATCAGGGAATGCAGCCTGGTGTAGCTGACTCAAGAAGCACCTCTATAGCTGTGGAAAATAACAGTCCGAAATCAGAATTTGCGTCCACATCTGCACGAGAGAATCATTTACAAGAGCCTAGTGAGCCGATAACTCTCTGCACAAAAGTGCAAGATAACAACTCGCAAGTTGGAAAAAAATTTCCCTCCAATCAACAGCAAGAAGAGAAAATAAGCTCCCAAAGGGTTACAACAAATGTGAAAGCTACAAGCTCATCAAATCCCCAGAAAGATATGCCATTTCATACCCGACATTCGGACAGTTCTTTTAGTCCAAATCATAATGAGGTAGACCGCAGTCATCAAGCAATTAGCCCCAAATTACTACATTGTACTTCACAACTACGGAGCTCAGATATTTCCCATGACCAAGCTAGCTGGGGAAATGCAAGCTGTGAAGCTAGCCATGACAAGTCACTGGAATTTTTAGAGACACCAAAACCTCCCAAGTATAGTGAACTAAGTGTCCATAGAGAAGAACAAGATGCAAATAACTTGCAGCATGCAGGAACAAGTAATGAGTGGTCTAGTGAGAGCACTAAACGTCAAAGTGACTGGGAAGAGGAAGCGACCAACCAGAATCTAGTGGACAGTGATTGTGGTTGGGTAAGTGATTATTCTCACACAGCAAGTGGATGGGATGAACTACAGTCTAACTACGAGCAGCAGTCAGAATCCAACCAAGACTGGGTAAGTGATATTTCACGTCCACGTAAAGAGTGGGAAGGTCTTAGACAAGAAAGATACCAAGAGATGCTTGATCCTTTCCAAGACAATAATCATGATATTCGCCAACTTCTTAACAGGTATTACAATTCATGCATCTGATCTGATACTAATCCTATATATTTATTGTAGTCATTTGTTGCACCAGTTGGATATATGTTTTACTTTGGCAAATGTGTACGATTCGTAGACATTTGCCTGCCCACATTAATGAAGCACAAAGCATTCAAGGGAGAACCAATAGCAAACCATTAGAATATGATTTCCACTAAGAGTATCAGACAGAAATGAACCGTTGTTACAACATGAAGGCTGTCACTAGAGATCAGACAGAGATCACAAAAATTAAGGCAATACAAAAGTGAATCGACCTCAGAACATAATTGTCACTTAGAGTATCAGGCAAACAGGACCGAAGCATGGATCATTTCTGTACTTGTCCGTGTCGGTGTGGAGATAATCTCTGAAAATACGACTTAACCTCGTAGAAGAATGTGACACGTGTCTGATCGAAATGAGATGAGATTCAAGAAAACTGACTTTGCAATTTGGAAAAGGAGGTCATAGTTTAGATTTTATAGTCCCCTGCTTGCCAATGAAAGTGATACTCGAGTGAATATAGAGTCTGTATATCTCCTTTAGCTGTCCTAAGATATTAATATTCAGCTTCTGTAGTAGAAGCATAGTCCGTGATCTGCACTTACTTTTGCTCTTCATAAATGTGCAGAAAAAGTGTCTCAATCTTTCTTAATAGTGGTTTGAGAGAGAAAATAGATCGACTAATGGCGTCTCGCTCACAACAACTACCTAATGCAATGACCGGCCAGCTTCAGGAAGAAGTAGGGGCACTTGTACCTAAAGAAAAGGAGAAGGAAGAGGAAGTGGTATCACGTAATGAAACACGAGGGGGAGAGACCAAAGATGATGAGGAAGAAGAAGACTCGGGTTATGAGGATTACTTTGAAGATGACAATACACCAATTAGACAACATTACCTCGAACCTGAGGAATTAGTTGATCAGAAAAAAGCTTCACGTACTTTACAGTCATGGAGCAATAATGAAGACCGGGGTGTCACTGATGACTCCTATCACCTTCCGTCTAATTCTTTACCACAATCTCAATCATCCAATACTTACTCCCATCACAATCAACAATGCTCCTCCTCCGCTATACACACTTCAATTGTAAGTTTTTTTCCCCCACTATTTTTACAATGACTTGCCAGATATTCCTGAGTTTGAGACTAGTCATAACAACATGGCATTAACAGGAAATGGAACTAATATATGAATTGCGAGGACATATGGAGCAACTCCACCAAGAGATATTTGAAATACGAAGATCAATAAACAGCTGCGTGAACATGCAAATGAAATTACAACATTCCATTAAGCAGGAGGTTGCAGCTGCAATCACTCAGTCAGGTGAGTTGGTTTACTGAAATCTGAATATAAGATGCTTACTAAGCTCCATCATCGTTCATAAAACGATTTGATTGTTTTTGTGTTTTCTAACTTCATAAAACCCTTCATAACCTATAAGAAAAACTTGAAAGAAGAAATAGCTAAATTGTGAAGTCGTTTCACTTCTTATATTCTTTACCTTATTGAACCTTTTTTCGGGGGAACAAGCTTACCTTGTTGAACTATTTGTTGCATCATACCATGGTTTTTTTTCTCCTCCTCTCAATCTTTGCACACTTTTGAATAACTACAAAGTAAGTTCCAAGATCTGGCTTCACTTATAGAGCTTCATATACCTGTGATCTTTTTCCTCCCTGTTTTGGATATATAGAGAAAGGGAGTAGAGAGTAACATTTTTGTAATGCAGGTCCAATGATTGGGAGTAATTCAGATAAGAAGGGTGCAAACAGAGCAAATTGTCGTATTTGCTATGAGGCGCAAGTTGATTCTCTCCTTTACAGGTACTTGGCATTGATTGCAGCAAGAATTTTCACTTAGGCAATTCAAAATACACAAGAAACAAGTAATATTAATCTCTTGGGTATCATTATCCATTCTTTTCAGGTGTGGGCATATGTGCACCTGTTTCAGGTGTGCCCATGAATTGCTTTGGGGCACCGGAAAATGTCCAATATGTGAAACCCCCATAATAGATGTTGTCCGTGCATATATACACTCGTGACGCACAGGTTAACCGGATTTTGTTCTAGAGGACTGCCGATTCCTAACTTTTTGTTCAATGAGAGATGAGCCAAAGGATGATTTTCATTTTATTTTCCTTTTTTCTTTTTAATTGAATCTTGAGCCATGGATTTTTTTTTTATGGCTAATTTATTGTCTATAACAGGCTTAGAGATAGTGGATGAATGCGCTCTCTCTCCTCTGGTTTTCACTAACCATCCGTTGTATACAATAGGAGAAAAGAAAGGAAAGTTCTTTCTAACTGTGTCTTTCAAATTCTTTGTATTAACAATTCAACAGAAAATTGGAGAGTTCCTTACATGTAAATAAGCTACAAGCCGCTTAGCATTTTCTCCTCATTGGTTTCTTATAATTGGAATGAAAATACATAAAAACAGTACAAAGGTAGCTTAAAACTCTTTCTGAAGCATTAGATTCAGTGTAGATTTGATCAGCTAGAGTTGGTGATGCTGTTGAATAGAGCCAAAGCACTTTGGCAATGAAATTTCAAGGATTGAGATCTGGAATAAAGAAGCCCTTCCTTTCCAGGCTTATTCATGTTGGTAAAGCACATAGCTGAATAAGCCTATGTTAAGAGTCACCCAGATTAATGGAAGAAGTTCCAAATACTTTGAGACTGTGATTGCTTTCTGTCTAATAATTATTTGCTTGCTAATGCATTTGACACTATCAAGATGACATGCAACAAGAGTAAGTAAATTTGGCACGTAAAACTCACCATTGGATTTGTTGACTTTCTTGTAGCGTGGGTCAATTGATAGCAATTAGCAAACCGTTGAAAAATCTGGGGGGGAAACAGATTCACCAGATAAATATGAAAAATCACTTAAAGAGTTGGGTTGGCACTTGGTACTATAATATTCCCAACCTCGTCCAAAATAAGGAAGTATGCTTCTATTAAAGTCATCTTTATAAGCATATATGTTCTGAACATGTAGGCACTTGTCAACAAAAGAGTTCTACACATGAAGGTGGACCACAGCAGTTTGAGAATCAGTAATACAAGAGCTTTAGCAAGAAAACTAATTAAGGTGATGCCTTTCACACCAGAAAACATAAATTTTAAATCCACGATATCCAACTTGTACGTACTTACAATAAAGCGAAATTCGAGTTTCCGTGCTATAGTGGAGGAGAGAGAGAACTGGCCAACGGTGCTTTTAAAATCGAAAAGCATAAAAAAGGCGACAATGTCTATGAGGCTTGAAGCGAGAAGCAAGAAGTAAAGAGCACACTTCTCTGAAGTGAAGCACGATAAAAAAAACCAAACATATATCAATTTAGTACTACAGTAGTCAAATTGCAATTAATATTACTAAATTTCAGCACCCACTATACAGTAATGCGTACATTAGTCCAACTCCTCAAAGTTGAGATTCAAAGATCCGACCACTTCTCATTTGGATCATTGTGCACATCGTGTTTGAAGCGCATGACTTCATCTGTGAAGCAATAACCCCTTGCTTCGCATCACTTTGAGCGACGAAGCAATGACTTTTAACAACATTGATGGGCAGAAGATCCATCATTTTCCTTGAGCCGCCATTCTCTTACGTATTTCAAATGCTGTATTGAATATTCCAAGCGTTGGCTGGTTGCATACAAAACACTTCTTGTTCTTTGCATGGTGCTGTTAACCACAAAAACCCAAAAAAAGAAAGATTACCTTGCAATTTGCACAAAGGAGAAAAGTAGAAGTGAAATAAGTCATAGCTGTGTAATATGATCAATTCACATAAGAGAAAAATATAAGTGAAAGAATCCTGCTTTATACAAAGGGGGAATCTCATATCCATCGCCTTGGAGAGCAGGTCTCTACCATTACTACTTGGGATCTGCCATGAGAAGTACATTTCAAATATTTAACAATTCATATAAGTCAGATCTGTGCGCCCAAGGTGACTGTAGCTCAAATTGATTTCAGTAGTCTCTACTGTTTGTCGAAAGCCCAACCAACGCAAGGGGTAGTTTCTACTTAAGGAAAATGGTAAATTCCAATACTTGCTGGAGAAGTAACTCTTGCCTATTTCAGTTGGTACTTTTACATCCTAGTGTCAATCTCTCTCCACATATACAACATTTCTCCTGACCATAGTTGCACTGTATGTATAAAAACCATAAGGAAGAAAACCAAAAAAAGGGCACATTAAGGGCAATATGCACCAAGAAAGTCCGCTCTACTGCATTCCTTTCCTTTTTAGGTGGTTGCGATTGGGGAAGGGGGAGGGGTGTAAACTCTATTGCCACCTCAAAAAAGAGGAAATGATTAAAAAGAAGAGGAATGGAAAAGGTACATAAAGGAGTTGGTGTTCAGTGTTCAGTGTTCACAGATTCAATAATGAGATCAAGCAAACAAGAGAAAAAGGCCAATGAAATTACCTTTAATGCACAATGCTCACAGAAGTAGTGTTTGCATTTGGTCACAACAGGATCAACAAAAGGCTCTCTGCAGATAAAGCAAGCAAATGGTAAGGCGTCATCATCATCTTCATCACTCTTCTCAGCATCCTCATCATCCTCGTCGAGCATTCCCATAGCCAATTTTCGTTTCCTCTCTTTCTCAGCTTCATCCCACTCTTTTTCAATCTGCCACCCAGACTTATAATCTCCCCGGTCATGCATAAATTTGCAAGAGTCCCCGTATCCACAATATCCCGTCTCTTTGTAGTCCTTACAAATATCTGGCTGATAGTCGAACCTTGCTGAAACTCTAATGTGGGCAGAAGCCCTGAGAGGACCATGTGCTCCACCAGCTTTCTCGCTAGAAATTGTATGTTCTCTTCTCAAACCAGCTTTGTAATCAGTATATTGATTCATCCCCTTGTACAATTTCTCATCCCCACCAGTCTTGCTTTTTCCTTTCAAAGCCTCCTCTGCCTGCTTCAAAGCTCTCTCCCGAATGGCCCGGGCATCCTTAGAGAACTCGGTCTCAGTTTCTAAAGTGGCTGTTGCTCTACTATCATTTTGAACTTGAATTTCTTTAGAGGACTCAAAATGAAATACTGGAGCTTTTGAATCAACATTGGATTCTGTAGCCTTGTTACACTTTGAAGCTCCAGTAGAAAAGCGTAGCTTGTTATCCGCAATGGCTGGCTTTTTCTTGGTATATATGACTGAACTTTCACCTTCTGCATCGTCACTCTCCCCCTCCACAACCGTAGGACGCTTTCTGATATTTTTGCCCTTGGATGGTTTCTTGAAAAAATTGCATACTGCAAATAGAAGAAAGGAAACAAAAGTATAATAAGAAAAAAAAATGAACCAGTAAATTGACAAGAGAATGCAGAAACAAGCTAGAATAGAAAAGGAACTTAGGATTAACATTTGCTAGCTTAGGATACATGGATATCTGCAAAACCAGGGATACTAACAAAACCAGTACTTAATGGAACATTAGTTACAACAGCCATGTCCAATGACAAGCTCAAGATGATCACTTGTGACACCAAACATATGGACTTGAAAAGTTCTTTTCTTTTCATTGCAACTAGAGATGAGCTTAAATGGAACAACATGGTCCGTCAGAATTCATTGCTGAATCCCGACTTACTTAAGATTGAGACGTAGTTGTTGTTTTTGCAACTAGAGAAACAAGTTGGATGAGTTAAGTTCCCATAGCATCTTTTTTGTAGAGCCATGTATAATTTAATATCACATGTTTGACGAGATGTGAAGGGCTACAGCTAATCCGAATAGTAATACTTGTTGAGCTTAGATGTAATTCCAAATTACTAATCTCGTAATAATACTCTACAAAGTTAAATTGTGATTTCAGCGCTGGAGTACACTTTACTGCTTCACATCAATGTTGTAATTTGGTAGATATTGTGTACTTAGGTCCAAAAATAACTGTTACACAGAAGCTTGATACCATAAAATTTTAACATTGTCCGAGCGGCCAAAAGTCTAATTTTTTTAAAGCAATTAACCATTAGCAAAGAAAAGAATTTATGAGAGAACGCAAATAACCACAAATAAATTGGTTGGTGATTAAGGAAGAGGAGGCTACCGGAACTTGAAGAAGGTGGAGCTGTTGGCGGCTGCTCAGTTTCAGCTTCGGCAGGGTTCGATTCAAACGCTGGAGTATTTGAATTCTCCATCTGACAACACAAATCATTGGAATCATATTAAATATCAAGCGCGATACAAGTAAAATAGACTGCAAAGCTAAAATAGGGCTAGAAATTTGAACCAAAAAGAAACAGAGAAATAGGGCCAGATAAAGTTTTCGAAGAAGCGACTTACAGTTACAGAGATCGCTGAAGGAATGGCAGTCGGTGGTGGCAACTTGCGGCGCGACTCGCAGCAGCACGACGGTGACGGGGAAGTCGGGAGGTGGATTGGCGGTGGTGAACTGGCGGAGGGGCTGCGGAAGCAGGGGGAGGTTCTTTTGTTTAACGTTCAGATATATACTTTGTAAAAAGAAAAAAGAAAAAGTCAACATCAATTAGTAATTGCTGTTATAAAATAAAGACACTAAAGTAAAGACAAATATAAAGAGAAACTGATATATTATTCAAACTTCAAAGTATATAATGAACTGAATTCTCCTCTATATATAGAAGAAAGGAAGCTTTTGTGTAAGCTGCTACTGCAAGCTGCTGTGTAAGCTGCTACTGCAAGTTGCTGTGTAAGCTGCTTGTAAGTTGCTGCTGCAAAATACTGTGTAAGCTGCTTGTAAGCTGCTACTCTAAACTGTTGTGCCAGATATAGATAATCTTCTATCATGGGTAATATTTATCCATAACGGACTACCGAAAGGATAAGCTTCTTCAAGAGGCTTATTTCCAATAGAGTACTAAATAGATAAACATATTTATAGCGGAGTCTCATATGGATAAACTTCTTCAGGGAGCTTATTTACAACGGAGTACTAAATGAACATCCATAATATAATATATTCATAACACTCCCCC